GAGGAAGGATCTCACCGGTTTCAATGGCGTGGCAGCAGCATGAGCCATCTGAGTTCGAGGAGCGTGGCGGGGAGGACAACACGCCGATTCAGCGATACATAAGAGAGACAGATGACAGTGGCAACTTATAGTAGACAGAGTTCTAAGACTGAGACGACAAGACCAGAATTATATTAGATGTACACAAATTCCCCTCTGAACTGGCCAATCGCGGAAGTGGCATCATCTTCAAGCTGCCATTGGATCAACAGCCGTCCCTTGGTATGTTGCTTTTCGTGACGACTCGATCCCGATAACTTGTCTCCGCAAAGCTCATAAAATTCTCGACATCTTGTGTTGTCGAAGCCAGCCCAAAAGACACCCGCACCGCACCTGAAGTCCGCAACCCGAGCATGCGTGTCATATCATCCGTAGACTTCGGCCGAAGCCCTGGCCGAAGTCCCTTGATCCGTCGTAGAGCCGCCCCATCCACCCCAAAGGCTGCCGCACCGGCTCCCGGGTTGCAAAAGCAGCCCGTACGAAGCGAGATGCCCTCGGAAGCAGCTTCTAGACCAATGAGACGATCGTCAACCGCGCTACCTGCAGCGTCGACAAAGTTGAAGCATACGGTACCACCCCTTGCTTCCAGACCGTCGGGCCCATACAACCGCACCATGGACGACCCATCAGCGTGCTTCATCGCTAACAGACGGTCCAGGAACCAGCCTGTCAGGCACCGAACTCGCAGCTGTATGAGATCCATGCCGATGCCCGTGACCCAGTTCAGGCCGAAAGCCACGTCCGGAATCGACAGAAAATTTACCGTACCATCTTCATATCCAGCCTCGCCAACCTGCTGGACATGCCACTCCATCCCGTTCCCCACGAAAGCCGCCACCACCGTGCCGCCCGAAAACCAGGGCCGCTCCAACCGTGCCATGGCGTCTTTCTTGACGACCAGACAGCCAACGCCAGTCGGGTAGCCAAACACCTTGTACCAGCTCACCATGACGAACTCTGGCTTTATGATCGACAAGTCGAGCATCTTTGTCGGGAGATACGCTGCTGCATCCAGCAAGACGTCGTAGCCGTTCTGCTGCGCCATCTGCACCCAGGCTAATGGGTGTTGGACACCACTGAAGTTGCTCTGCGCGGGATAGGCAAAGAGGCCTCTCTTCCTTCTTTCTCCCGGGACCTTCCATCGCGGCCGGAGCGCTCTCTCCACACAAGATGTGTCGACGCGAAGGGAGGGCGTTTGACAAGGAATGTAGACCGTCTTGGCCCCGCGGCGGGAGGCGTACTCTCGTATGCCGTTGACCGAGTTATGGTTATCGCAGGTCAGCACGAGGCGGCTCCGTCGGCGGAAAGGGTACGCCTCGGCCACGAGCCGGGCGGCCCCTGTGGCATTTGGTGTGAATATGACAGCATATTCGGCAGGGTCGGCGTGAAGGTGAGCGAGGATACGGGCACGAGTATTCTCAACCAGGGCTGTGGAAGCCTTGCTCGTTGGGCTTTCCGAATGGGGATTTCCAAAGGACGTGCTAGCCAGACGGGTTGCGTGGACTCGGTGCTGCTCCAGAGAGGAAAGTCCGGCTCCTGTGTAGTCAAGGTAGGTGTGGGCTTGTTGATCGAGGTGAGCGTAATGTGTCTCGCGGAGGGCATCGAGAGACGAGGTTTTGGCGTACTCCGGGTAATCTTCGAGGATATCTGACATGCTGGGCTACGGTCGAGTCTGACAGAAGACTTGGTAGAACAAATTTACTGCACACGGCAGAACACAGCAAAGTAAAATGACATCCCAAGGGTCATCCATGGCACAGGGTCGTCACCATTCTTATCGATCTTGCTGACCACCACATTCACGGCAGTCTAAGGTCAGTCTGCCGAGAAGGATCAAATCCAGATCATCCCCACGATGCCCCCCGGGAGACTCGATCCGGCCCTTACAAATCACCACACGCTTCAAGCAGGGAGCATTCGATATATGCCACCCTTCACATTGTTAGCTAGTAGGGGGGATGATGGCAAAATGTCTAGGATCTATCCAGTCGTCCATGAGGCCGTCACACCACCATGGTCGTGATGGAGAATAAAAGCCGAAAACAAGTAGCGTGGGGTCCATCAGGTGAAGCAATCGCCTTCTCTCATACGTCTAAGAGTTTTCTTGGTTGTGCACTTCGGACCTGAGCCCCAACTCGTCAGCATCGTCATGCAGGATGTGTATCCACCAATCACACCACAAGAGCTGTAGTGCTGACTGGTGGGAACTCGTCTATCACATCCATCGCGGCGCCTCCGCTTGCCAGAAATAGGATGCTGACGCTGTATGCAGGCTGGCCAAGGTTCGTTGGTTACCCGGCGCTGGCTCAGGGACAGTCCACACTTATTGCGGACTGTCACATATTGGACCCGTTGGCAGACACACCTTTCTTGAGGTGTTTTTGGAGCAAATATTGAGCACACCAACAACATAGCCCCCTGCTGTCCTGTGGTTGCATCTCCAAGTGGCAACCTTCCTCAGTTGGTATGGCCCACAATAGGGCCTGGCAGACAAGTGTGTTGATCAGCTTGCTCTCGATCAGGCAAGGGCCTGGCCCCCATTACGGCGCTGACTGCCAAGATCATGGCCTATTTGAGAAAGCGAACGGGGGCGGGATGCAACCCTGCAGGCCGGCGCTCGCCTGCGGCGCAGCAAGGATGCGCTGCCCCAAGGAAAGATTGCTCCTTTGGATTGGTGTTCGGATGCTCGGAGAAGTACGCCGGTTACGCACTGAGGCCGTTTGGTCATTGGAGTTTGACTGGGTCTTGCTCTTGCAACACGTATTCTCATAATCATTGAACAAGGCTGTCTTCAATATCTACAGGTTTGGTTTAACAAACCCGTCTTTAAACTACCTACTAGCACTAACGTACTCCACAAGCGAGTGGAACACACAAGCGAGTGAAACACTCAACCACGACCGCACAAATAAAACCCCAGATATCTCAACCACGACGACTTGAATTAACTAAATCAATCGGTGTTATCATCATCTGATATAGCTACAATGATCTGACAGGTCCTTGAGTTATGTCCTGCCTTGCCGCATGTTCCACAGCGTCGAGGGGCCAATTCTATACCCTGCTTACGACCCCTACTCAGCTGCGTTTCCTGCTTCATCTGGACGTCTACCTCATTCTGGGCTTGAATGTCCTCTGCTTCGGCTATAGACATGCTTCCCCCTTGCCTGAGACGCTTTTTCTTCGCTCTGCGACGCTTGCTTAGGGTCTCTAGCTCCCCTCGTATGAGCTGGACCTCGGACTGTACGAGGGTGAGTTTATGCATGATACTCCGCGTTCCCTTTGCTAAGTGGTCAACGGCGCCGAGAATAGACGTTGGTGAGCTATCTTGATGACGGGCAATCCGATTTTTGATGTACTCAGACTGCGAAGTCGTCTCAATCGGATTGTTGGGCGTCCTCGAGACCCAAGGTTCGGGTATCCCTCCACTGCTCCCTGGAGGCGTTGGGGTATGTAACTTCACATCCAGCTTCGAAAGGACTGCTTCCGGGTTATGAGGAACGAGTCCAGCTCCCCTAAAGGCCCCTTGGATGTTCTTCTCCGTCATTACCTCTTGGGATGCTGTAAGAAACGCAGGGAAGAAGTCTTCCTTGGTGATATGGCTTATACCCGCCCGCATCTTCTTCTCGATTTGCCGACCGTACGCCTGCTTAAGCGGGCCAAAGCAGCCAATATCGAGAGGCTGGAGTAAATGAGATGAATGAGGCGGCATACAGAGCGCGATAATGTTGTTTTCCTTGCAGTAGGCGTCGAATTCGATCGAGTGGTGACTTTCATGTCCATCTAGAATGAGGAGTCGATGTGTGCCTGTTGTGCGAGGCCTGGTGTACTTATCGAAGTGCCGAATCCATTCCAGTCCTGTTCTATTGGTAGTCCATCCGTTTTCAGTCGTGGCGATAACCCAATCCTTTGGTAGGGATGTTTCTTCGTACCAGCTCGAGAGGTGATATTTGCCTGCGACCACGATAAACGGCGGGACGCACCAGCCTTGGGAATTAACCCCCTGGATCACTGTGACCCATTGTCGATTTCCAGGTTGTATGAGCTTCGTATTTGAGCGCCTTTCCGAGCTTGTGACGACCATTCCTGTTGAGATAACGCCCATCATAAAGCCGGTCTCATCGAAGTTGTAAATATCTGCGGCCGCAATGCCGTACTTCGCAACCACATTCCGTACAAGGCGAAACCACGCGTTTATCGCGTCTGGATCTTCACATTGGGCCCTCTTATAGTCGTATCTGCGAAAGAAACGCGTCTTTAGCTGTGGTTGTCGCTTGACGAAGTTTGAAGCCCAGTTGACTCCGACGTGTGGCGCGCCTCGGTCGGCGAGCAGCCTATTGGCCATATCTTCCACGTCACGAAGCCGGGGAGGAAATGATCGCGAATCCAGGTCCAGAATACTCTCAATAATTGTCTGCTCCTCTAAGGAAGTCAATGTCCTCGAATTCGGAGGGCTGTCGCGTCGAGAGATAGTTCCCTTCAGTCGTCGGCCTAGCGTCACATGGCTCACGCTGTAGATCTTCGCAGCGCTCCGAATGCTTAGCTTGGGATCTTTTTTGATAGCTTCGGTAGCAAGAATCAATTGAGCTTCTTTGCAAGGAGTCTCCATGTTTAATTGTGGGTAGAAAGGTGATGAAAGATAGGTGGTTGGGGAATCGCGACGGAGTGTTTCACTCGCTTGTGTGTTCCACTCGCTTGTGGAGTACGTTACACAGTAAGTCATTTCATTCGCCTATCATGGGCCAAGAGAAATGGGTCCCGACTCATATCTTCCCCGAGGTTTGAGTTGGGGTTTGTTTACGCCGTGACCAAACGG